TTTGTTATTATAGTAGTAGTTGTTATTGTTGTGATGTTGAAAAACTGGTTTAAACAGTTTTGGTTTTTTCTTTGTTGTTTTGATGAAATCTGATTGGATAATTGGAGAGCAATGATTATCTGGAGAAGGTAAACTAATTTTGATTTTTTGGAAAAAATTTTTTGAAGATTTTGAAATGGTACAATAAATAGTGTCATGTAAGATTATATGTAAAAGTTGTGTTAAAACAATCAATAGACCCAACAATATTGTTTGAGTATGTTTTTTGAAAGGTGTTTGGTTTAGCAAGTATAATGATATTGATGTGTATAATTTTTATAATATAATAGAAAGAAGGAGAATACAAGAGAACAAAAGAGAAGAGAATTGCTACAAGCCTTTTTTCATGCAACTGAAGGATAAGCAAGACTTTTAAACTTGAGTAGATTTTGATCAGAGATTCCATCTCACTGCACCAGTTGTCTTGAAGGTTTTTGAGTTCTTGAACTAGAACTTACTTGCGATAAAGAGTATAAAACATTTTTTCTTGCTTAAAATTACTATAAAAGAAAAATTTTTAACAAAACAGACATGATCAGGTGAGAGTTTTTTAAATAATTGATATTTATATTTAATTTAAAATTATATTGTTAATTAAAAATTTTTTTATGTTAATAAGGAAATATATATAATTAAGACAATATATTAATTAATTATATTTGACAAATAGTCAAACTATCTTATGAATTCATCAATAAAATATTTATTGTAGTTAATACTGATAACTAACAAAAATAGTTTTAAAGAATTTTTTTTAACTAGTTAAATCTTGCAAACTTTATTAAGATTAATATTTATATATATTTGTATATATTTCTATATATAAATTATGCTATAATATTAATTGATAAAAATATACTAAACTATATCAAGATTTTTCTAGATATTGGCTATGGCTATCAACTTTTTCTATTGGATAAAGGTTGAAACTAACATGTCAAGGCATTGTTATTGTTAATGTCACTAGTATATAAATAAATAAAAAATTGTTTTTTGTTATTTTGTCAGTGTTTTTAATTTATTTTTTCAAACAACTTTTTTATTAAGTTCTTTTATTTATTTATTTTTTTTTTCTTCTTCTTTATTTCTTTTCACTTTTGATTGATATGTTTTATATTTTTGCTTTTTTTGTTCACTTTGCTGATGTTGTTTATTTCTTTCTATTCTATGATTTTTTCATATTTTTTTTTTACAATTCATTGATTATTTTTGTTATTTTTTCTATAATTCTTCTATATACTTTTTTTGTTTTCTCTTTTGCATACTGATATATGTATTGTATTATTTCTTTGGTTAAAATCTCTTTTACTATATAGTTTTCTTGCATTCTTTGAGTTAGTAATTAATGATATTTTTGGTTTTGAATTTTTTTTTCTTTTTCCTTATTTCTGTTTCTTTGACACTTTTCTATTTTTTCTTTTATTATTCTTTTATATTTATTTGTGATTTTATATTGCCAATGTTTGTATATTATGTGATTTAGGCTTTCTATTTCCTTACATTCTAGGCATTTATTCAATTAATAAATGTCTGATTTTCTTTTTGCTAGTCTATTCAATATAAGAAATTTATTGTTTAATAATCTATAACTGATTTTTCTATATATGTGATCCTCTTGATTTGTATGCATTTTATTTATTCTGGATTGGTATTGCACTTTTCAAGTTAAATACTAGTCTATTTGTAACACATATTTATACTCAATTCATACTCTGTTTCTTCTTTGTGTTATCCAGTTTGCCATCCATTTTATGTTTTGCATGTTATTAGAAATTCTTTAATACTTATGTCTAGCTAATATTTATTCTATTTTAGTATATTTCATGTCACTGCTTTTGGGTTGGCTGTTATGATTGTTTAGTTTTCTTTGTTTGCTCTTTCTTTTGCTAATTTATTTGTCTCTTTATTGTTCTCTTTTTTCTGATATGCTTTGACTTTAATAAATATTGTTTGTTCCTGTTTTTCTTTGATAATTCTTTTAATTAGAGTTTTTGTTATTCAATTTGTACTTTTATAAATTTGGTAGCTCCCTTTGTTTTCTTTTTAAATCTCTTGAATAGCTGCTTGACTGTTTTTATATATCTTGACTTCTGCTTGTACTGGAATTGTGACCAGCATAGTTAGAATTGCTATTAATTCTGCTCTTGTTAATGATAGAAAGTGTTCTATACATTTTGAATATACTAATTTCTTTTCTGTTTCTTAATTGGTTATATGCTATCCCACTTTTATATTAGTTTGATTAGTTGCTTTTTGGATCATTGAGCCATTTGTGTATACTTTTATTCTTCTTCAATTTTCAATTTGTTCAGCTATTCTGACTAGTTCTTTTTTGTTTAAACTTCTGATTTATAAGTATTTTATAATTTTGTCTTTTATTTTTATTTGTTTTTCATTAATTACAACATTGATTTTAATTTTGATTTTGTTTTTTAGATTTTGTATATTGTACATTATTGTGCCTGATAATGTTTGATAATAAAGTCTATAAAAGCAGATATAGCAATATATTTGAAGATCAATAGATCTACTAGCAGTTTTGATTTGCCTTCATTGGGTTGCATAAATCTCTTTTGATTATCAGAAGCATATAATCAGTTTTGGAATTTATTTTTCTTATTATTTTTTTGATAATGCGATCATATTAGGAATAATTCTACCTGATCTCAAACATTTAATTAGATTATAATCTTTGTATAAATCAGTAACTATACTCAAAAATATTAGTTGTTTTTGGTTAAGCCAATGGATACAAATTCTATCTGCTTAGATTAATCAGAGGTTTCACATTATCTCTCTGGAGGATTTAAATTTATATTTTGTGATTTAACTTGTAAAGCATTAATTACTGTGTTATAGATCCACAGGTCTTTAAAAGGTTTTGTTTTTTTTTATAATCTTATATAAAAACTAAGATATAATATTGTCAATATTTATCTTTTTATAAAAATATTATAAAATTAAAATTTCTATTAATTATATAAAAATTTTTTGGTTAAATTTTTTAATTATTTTTAATAATATTAAACTTAATTGCAAAATTAATAGAAACAGTTATTGATTTTTCAATTATTATTCTAAGTAAATTTATAAATAGATATTTTAACTTTATGTTATATTATAAAAATTTAATATCCAAATTTAATTACTTTATTATTAATAATTTTAAGTAAATAATTATAATTGCTTGGTATTATCTTTGTCATATATAGGTTTTAACATTCATTTTTTTTTTAAAAAATCAATATATTTTTTTATTTTATAAAAAAAAATACTTGTAATTTTGAGACATGTTTAAAAAAAATAATCAAAAAAGATTAGCAAGTATAAAAAAATCGATTAAATTATAATTTATTTTAAAGTTAAATTAAAAGTCTTATCTTTATATAGTATTAAAATTCAAGTATTTAAATTATTATTATATTTAAAGCAAGTTATTTTTAACAATAGACTTGTTGATAACACTATTATAAAAGTTTTTTTACAATTTAATTTATTTAATTCAAGTGTTTTTTAAGTTTTGTCTTATTAAAGTAATAAATAAATAATAGTTTTTTTTAAAAGAAGTATAATTAATTTGTGAAATTTTATATATTTAATTGTTTTAAAACTTATTTTTAATTTAAAATAATATTTTGATTTATATTATACAAAATATGAACTTTATATAAAATATATAAAATATATACAGTATTTAAGTATTTAATAATATTTGAGAAAACCAATTAAATTATTAATATTATTAATTAGATTTTTTATTTTAATAACAATTAAATATTAGAAACTTATATACAGTATATTTACAGTATATAATATATTAACAATATATTTTTTGTTTATATTAGATTTCAATAATTGAATTAAGATATTAACCAAAACATTAATCTAATTATTTAATTTTATTTAAAAATTTTATTGTATTATAGCTATTATTTTTATATTTATCAAAATTAAATAAAATAAAAATATTGCTATTAGTTTAATCAACTGTTTTAAATTTATCTTCAAATTTTCAAATTTAATTAATTCTTCTTTATTCAATATATTACAAAATACAATCTATAATAGCTTATTTTTTTTAATTGTAAATACTTTATTTTATTTGGCTATTATATATGTTTTTTTATTATTCTAAACAAAATTTAATTGACAATATAATTTTGAATTAAATCAATTCCCAACTATTTATTATATGTTATTTAATAATTTTACCATAATATGGATTTTGAAAAATATTTGAATTTAATTTTATTATATGTATAATAGTTATAATTTTTTCAATTGTATTATTTTATTATTTATTATTTACTTCAACTTTTTTATTATTTAATTTTAAATAAATATTTATAGTTGCTCAATGTGAATTAATAAGATATATTGTTTTAAAATTTCTTTTCAATATCAGTTGGTTGATTTCTGTGGGTAAGTTATTATTCAACTTATTGTATTTACATATGATATGTTAAATAAATATAATAAATATTATAATATAATGATAATAAAAATAAATAAAAAATAAATAAACAATAGAATTATTTTATTTTAACATATGTTGATCTTGAATTATGGATAGTAAATATGTATTTCACTTTCAAAAATAATTACTTATACTGTATGTATTACATTTGGTTATATTAGTAATATTCAAGTATAATATTGATATGATTATGTATATACTTAGCTTACAAGCCTTTATTTTTTTATGGCATGTATAGCATGTCACCTTATAAAACAAGAATAAAGAAAAGTAGATAGAGAATAATTTATTATAAATTTTACATATAAAGCACAGACATAAGACGTGCTTTATCTGCTAGTAATAAGATAAAGAATTTCACTACAAATTTGTTTGCACGAATGACGCACAAATGCCGTAGGGGTATTACATACATGAGGTAAGGAGAACACCCCCCATGTCTTTTATTTTGGGAAAAAAATCTCTGCTTTTATAAGGTGAATATTCATGTAAGTTTTTTTGCAGTATCATTAAAAGAAAATCTGGATGAAATCACTTGCCTGTCATTTATCAAAGGCATATACTCTTCTACTTCGGGACTTCTGTGTTCCGGTTATAAAAAAGGGATGACATGTCAAGTTAAATGCACACATAATACAGACGTGAACGAAAGAAAAATCTTCATACCTCTCGCTGCATTGTTTTGCATCTCGCATGCCGACACGAAACGAGTCTTTTTTCCAGTTTCTGGCATCATATTTTTCAGCATATTCCCTCAGTTTTGCATCCTCCTAGTTTATTTTTTTAATAAGACATTTTGAAAGCAAAAAACACATGGGATTATGAAGATTATTATTATTATTTACCTCTGTACTAAAGTGCCACGTTTATACTTTCTATCAAGTTTAATATACACATAATACAGATGTGAACGAAAGAAAATTATTCGTACCTCTCCCTGTATTGTTTTACATCTCGCGTGCCGACATAAAACGAGGCTCTTTTCCAGTTTCTGGCACCATATTTTTCAACATATTCCCTCAATTTTGCATCCTCCTAGTTTATTTTTTTAATAAGACAATTTGAAAGCAAAAAACACAGTGGTTATGAAGATTATTATTATTATTTACCTCTGTACTAAATATGCCACGTTTATACTTCCTATCAGGTTAAATTTACACATAATACAGATGTGAACAAAAGAAAATTATTCGTACCTCTCCCTGCATTGTTTTTCATCTCGTGTGCCGACATAAAACGAGGCTCTTTTCCGGTTTCTGGCGCCATATCTTTCAACATATTCTCTCAATTTTGCATCCTCCTAGTTTTTTTTTTTAATAAGACAATTTGAAAGCAAAAAATACAGTGGTTATGAAGATTTTCATTATTGTTATTACCTCTGTGCTAAATATGCCACGTTTATACTTCCTATTATTATATCTAGGCATGTTTGTATGATATTGATGTATCGAACACAATGGAAGTTTTGTTCTTGAAGAATGGTTCTACTCTTTATATAAACTAAATAATTTCACATGACGTTCTATACATTATTCCTGTTCCATGAAAAAATATTTTTAGACGGTTTTTTTGTTTACACAAATAAAGTTTATCTTGGAAGTTGCATATGATAACAAGTACTGTATCGGAGTTCCAATCCGTCGTAGGCTTACAATAGGTGTCACCATTAATCATTAATAGTGTCACCAATGTTGCATTTTAACCCATATGTACAGTATATTCTTTTGAAGGCGAGAAAACGTTAGGATCGGGGCCCACATCAATTTATGTCATTAGTTGGTGGAACTTTCCGTATTATATCTTTCAAATAAAATTTCGGATTTTGTTTTCGGGTATATAAAAACCCGGAATGTAGCATAGTTTCAATATAACCAATATGCTTCTTACATGTCGTGAGGTAAAGTGAATGGATTCTCAAAATATGAGTGAAGTGAATGGGTTCGCAGAACATGAGGTGGTGTAAATGGGTTGACAAAGTGTGAAGTAGAGTGAATAAGTTTGTAAAACGTAAAGTGGTGTGGATAGGTTTGCAAAATCTGAGGTAAAGCGAATAGGTTCGTGAAATGTGAAGTGGAAAGGGTAGGTTTGCAAAAAACGCGAGGTAGAATAAATAGATTCATGAAACGTAAAGTGGAGTAAAGGCGTGAAGTTAAATAGGTAGGTTTGCGAAACGTAAAGTGGAATGATTAGGTCTGCGAAATGTGAGGCGGAGTGAATGGGCTTAAGAAACATGGTATGTTTGTGAAAAGTGGGTTGGAGTGAATGAATCGTGAAATGTGAATGGATTTTCGAGGAATGAAGTGGAATGAATAGGTTTGCGAAACTTGAGATGAAGTGAGTGGATTCTTGAAACGTAAGGTGGAATGGCTAGGTTTGCGAAACATGAGGTAGGGTGAAAGGGTACGCGAAACGTTAAGTAAAATGAATAGGTTTGCAAACCGTAGATGATTTGAATGGGTCACTTTATCATACTCGTTCCGCGAACTCATTTATTACATCTCACATTTCGCAAACCTACACATTCTAATTTACGTTTCGTGAACCCATTCACTTCACCTCACGTTTCGCAAACCTACTTGTTCTATTTCATCTCACGTTTTGCAAACCTATCCACTCTACGTTTTGCAATCTAATTCATTTTTCCTCACATTTTACAGACCCATTTGCTCCGCTTCATGTTTCGCGATCCCGCTCATCACCTCACGCTCGTAAACCTACCCACTTGTCGTTATGCTTCACAACTCCACCTTTTTTTACAAATTCCCCTATCCTAAATATTTTCTTACATTTCATGAATAGTACACTCGATAATATAAAAAAGTATTTAATTTATTTATATGGTATATACATTATATTAATTGGCAGATATATAAATACCATTAAAATAACAGGGACAATTTATTACCCATTAACAAATCAACAGTATATTGCATTTGTACAATTTAAAAACACATTAATTTTTTTCAAATTTATGGTTTCGCTTTTTCGTTTAGATATTTTTATTAATTGTTCAAAGGATACTCTAATATATAGAAATGATCAGTATGTAGCCTCCGATAATGTGACATATAAGGGTTTGGTATGAAGCACAAAGTTTAAAGTAAATAAATGCATTTACTTATAATTAAAATCATACCAAATGCATTCAATTAAAAAACTTGACATGTTAAATTATACATAGGTTTTTATTAAAATAATAATATAACTATTAAAAATAAGAATAAATAATTATTTAAACTTTAAATAATGGTCTCCATTTATCTATTGCATAATATAATTATAAATCAATTTTGATGGGTTTAAGAGACACAGTAGATTCTTATAAGACAATAATTTTGGAAAATTTATTTGTACTATAATGTGTTTACAATCATAGTGTTGGAAGAAATAAGCGATATGCCATGATAATAAATAATTAATGAGGTTACCTAAAGGCAATAAACCCACAACCTTCCTATTATAATTATTTCGATTTGTTTTGTTGTATTTGATATTTTTGTTATATTATATTCGCTATAGTTATTATTTCTATTATTTCTTGACTTAATGAAGAATTATAAATATAGTAAACAAAAGACTTACCTGTCATATAATCCGAGCTCCAAAAACCTATAGACTCGCCAAATCAACGTTTATTTTTTGCTACTTTCCTTCGAAACTTACTTTAACTCCTATATATGAATTATTTAGCAAGTGGTTGCCACACAGAATGACCAAATGTATCACCTTATGAACCTCTTAATAATAATTAAAGTAAATTTGTCGTGAAATTAAAATAGAGTATTTCTCCATACATACATATTTATATATCTGGTACTATTTAATATTATCTATATGCATCTATCTCATCTTAACATAAAAACCTAGAGTCATATGAAATTATAAAAAATGACCCGCGTATAGGTTTTTGCAAAAAAAATAATAATAATCCAATCTCGTGTTTTTATATTCTAGCACTTAAAGAGACAAAAAAGCCTGAACAAAACTTATTGACCTTTTTCGTCGGGTATAATTAGTCACAGGTGCAAATTGACGTCGTTTATCCCTCGTGTTTTCTGAAAACAGTTCATCACCGCAGTCAGTTTTAATTTTTAGTTGGTTAGAAATTATTAGTAAATTACAAACAAAAAAAATAGCAATATACTTCTAGCGATATAATTATCAATATTCATCTTCCAACATATAGAAGTGTCTTCATCTGTAGGTACTCTACATTTGTCCACTAGCCCGAATCTATATATTCCGAATCTTTACTTGTCCATACCATAAAAATTTAGTTCCAGACCTAATAGTATAACCCATTAGCAAGGTAATTTTTCCGAAACTTTCTTATGTTTAAATTTCATATCTCTTCTTATACAGTATGCATTCATTTAACAAACCATTGATTTATTACCATTAGGTCCACTTGTCTAAGAATCGCGGGTCATTAGAATTCTTAGTAATCCCAAACTCCTTGAAATTGCACAATAAATAAAATCGAATTTATTTGACATCTTAATTAACGTTGCTTTCGTGTGCATTCTTGAACGTATTAACATTTTTATTTCTTACATAATTTGTCGAAAGAGCCCTAGTTTCTCCCCTAAATATAGAATAATGAAAATTTCGCTTTTTTATTTTCCTAAAAGAAGTCAACACAATTACTTACCATGCATCTTTAACATGACCGAGTTCAATACACCACGAAATAATGAAAACGATGTTGTCGTTTTTTAGTTGTGCGTTCATTGAAATGAATTCATATTAATTTTTCTATACACAGTACAAGCAGAGTCAGAATATAATTTAATTCATAATAGAATTTATATTTCTTACATAAACTGAGTGTTTGTCGAGTTTTTGAGTTCTCCATTGCTAATAAATTCTTGGGAGAATTGTTTTAAATCATCTTCAGTGAATTTCTTGTGCCCATATAAGCACTCCTTTGTTAAATCGAACATTCCCCAATGTGCTGGACTATTGGATTAGGAAGTAATGAAATCAATTAGATCATGATTTAAAAGAGAGACGTAAACGCTCGACGGATTTTGGGGATTTTGATTTTATATTTTTGGAAGGCTTCAATATATCATCACAAATACATTTTGACTGATTGTACCTTGTCCTCTATGTTAGGGTTTTCTCGTCAATTCTTTCTAAAAGAATTTTTTCGTGTTGACTCGTTGAACAAGAACGCCAATACTTCATCTATATAATCTGTTTGATTGTCTAACTCCGTTTAGATTTATTATGAGCTCTTACTGAACCACCCTCCTCCACCGGAAATGATTATTCTCTTTCATCTCTCTATAAATATTTTGTGATTGTTGTAAAAATACTGTAAATTTGACGTTGGTCGTAGATTTTCTCCAATAATGCTTGTATTGATTTCTTACATGTGGAATACTTCAACTTGTCTATAACATCCAATCCTTGATTATAATTTGCGCGTTTCGTTCCCGCCATTGAATTTTTCTAGGACTTGGCTTAAAATCCAAAACAAAATAACAATAATGCTATTAATAATGATTTTAAGAAATCCAATATTCAAGTTAGCACGATAACATATGGCTTGATAATTCTTGATAATTTTTATTACTCACCTTTGGAGATTCCGCAACCGCCTTATTGTTTAGAGAATGATTCATTCCAAGAGCTTCTGGTATATCCGAAATTATTTCTCGAGCACCATACGCTCGTACTTCATCCAACACATCAATACTACTCTTTACATAATAAGGTTGCGCAATTCGCTATACTTATCATTATTAGCAAATATCAATAACAATGTTAACTCCGATTGATAATAGAATGTCTAAGTAAGACAAACTCTAACCTTTTACGTTCAGATAAGATGTCTTCGAAGTATGACCTCACAGGAATATGTGAATGTTGCTTTTTAAAGGTGAATATCAAAAGATCATAAAGTTAAATAAAGAAATGTTTAGCGAATCGCAATGAGAAGACATTGAAAATTTCCAGCAAACCCTTTTGATTGCTCTACAAACCATATACAGTATATAATAACATCCCAAAACGTCCTCTCGCTTATTTATTATTAATAAAGCTTTACCTTTTATTTGCATTTTTTGCTTCTCGCATTTATTGTTTATACCATATTTCATCAAGTCTGCACTATTGTTTAGTGTGTGGTGGTGAATAAAAATAACACTCGAAGAGAAAATTTGAAAAGGTGTAGCAGGTACCATTTACTTTGCGAAAATATTCATGGCAGCTAGTAAATCAATGGAAAAGATTAGCAAGTGTATTTGCCGTTGATTAGAAGCGCAAGTTTACCATTGCAGTATAGCTAATATATGTATCATTCATTGCGTGTTTGTAAAATGCATATTGTGACGGGGAATCGGTGAGTCTGTCGTTAACCGGGAGCAGAATTCGCGTAACCGTCACTTTAATTTAACAATTAAAACTCAAAAGAGTTGGATTTGACTTGACCGAATTCTGTCATTATTTGATACTTTTTTATACATGTTTTAATAGACATTTAGATGGAAGATTTTAGAGTACAAAAGAAAAAATATCGAAATTGATGAAGCTTTTGAAAGGTGAGTGATTCTAAATTACATATACATGTACATGTATGTCTTCCCATTGTTTGTCATCAATTAGTACTGTAATCCGGTTAATATTAGTCACGTGACCAACATCGCATCTACAGGACATTTCCCCTTAACCAAGACTAAAATGCCATTTTTATAATACAATTTATATTGTGTGTAACGACAGTAGGATCAAAATGTCCCATGACTGATATCAAATTGATTGTCGCACAAGCCTACACAATAACATAATTAACCAATCCACAAGTTTCCGTATACAGTAGGGTTATTTAGGCGCAACATGCATAAGACATTATTTTCATTGCATCTATTGAATTTTTGAGCTACTGTATCGTTGATAATGGATTTTACTAAGAGAATGACCAAAGCAGCAATAGGTGACATTAATTAATCTGTAGAGTAATAATTCAAAAGATTTTAATTAATCAGAGTTATAATCTTTACTTAACTACAAATACAGATGGTAAGTTTAGTTCAACCTTTCTTATGTAAATTTATATAAGGGGTTTCGATTTACTTGATTCATTCCATTTTTAGGGAGTAAGCATATCTTCATTAATATTTATTAAGTAATCCATCAAAAATATCTATATTAACCTGAGCTATATTCTTTGTTTTAGTTGGTAAGCATAGTGATATACAAAAGGTGTTTTAATTGATTTGAGTTATAATCCTTACATTAACCACGACTATAGACTGTAAGCATATTTCATTAATATTTATTGAATAATTTATATAAAGATGTTTTAATTGATTTGAGTTGTATTCCTTACTTTAGTGAGTAAGCATACTTTCATTAGTATTTTTGATAAATTTATAATGAACGTGTATTGACTGGTCTAGGCTATATTTAACTACAATTACAGATAGTAAGTAAATTTTCATAACGTTTGTTAATTAAATTTATATTAAAGCGTTTCGATTTATTTGAACTGTATCTTCGACTATAGGCGGTAAGTATATTTTCATTAATATTTATTGAGTAGATTCATAGCAAAAGTGCCTTAGCTGACCAGAATATGTTTTTGAACTACGATTCAGATTGTATGCGGCGTATTTCATTAATATTTATTGAGTAAATTCATATCAAATCAACATATCATATTATTCACTTCAATTACATTTTACAGATTGTAAGCATGTTTTCATCAATATTCGATGGTTAATTCATACCAAAGGAGCTTTAATTAGTCTAAGTTATATTTTTTACTTTTAGGGAGTAAGCATATATTCATTAACGTTCGTTAAGCAGAGGAATATTAAGATATCTTAATTGACCGAGTTATATTCCTTACTATATCATCGATTATAGATGGTAAATATATTTTTTGTTATATTATTAAGGAATTCATATCAAAGGTGTTTTAATCAATGCGAGCTATATTCTTTACTTCAATTACGATTATAGACGGTAAGAATATTCTCATTTAAATAAACATTCCAAAGTGTTTTAATTGATTGGTTGTATTCTTTTACTGCGATAACAGATTGTAAGCATATTTCCATTGATATTTGTTAATTCTTATTAAATATGTTGATTTGTCAGAGTTATACTCTTTACTTTAACTATTATTACAGATTGTAAGTATATTTTCCATTAACATTTGTTGGGTACGTTCATTTCAAAAGGTATTTGATTAATCTGTTATTTATTTAAGGGCGTGAGAATATTTTCATTGGTTATTGATGAATATTTTAATATCAATGATGTATTAATTGATCAGAGTCATGTCCTTGAATTTTAGGAGGTAAGAAATTTTCATTAACATTCGTAATGCAAATTTATATCAAAGGCTTTTAATTGATCCTAACTGCATTCGTACTCTTAGGGTGTAAGCATATTTATTAAATAATATAGATTAAATATGACCTGATTAATCAGAGTAATACCTTTACTTTTAGGGGGTAGGCATATCTTTAATATTTGTCAAGTAAAAATTCATACTCTAAGGAGCTTCATTTATTTATGTTATACTGTATTTCCTTTTAGATAGTAAGCATAATTGCAATAATATTTGTTGAGAAAATTTATATCAAAGTATTTTAATTGATCTGAGTCATATTTTACTTCAATTATGGCTACAGACGGTAAGCCCATTTTTAATAAAATTTCTTGAGTAAATTCCCATTTAAAATGTATTACTTGATCTCATCTGTATTTTTATTTTTAGATGGTAAGCATATATTCATTAGTATTTATTGAATAAATTCATATTTAAAGTGTTATACTGAGTTATATTCTTTATTTTTAGGGAGTAAGTATTTTTAATTGATACCTTCCAAGTAAATACATATATACAACTGTGTTTTTTGATCTGAATTATATTCTTTATTTTTAGCGGGTAATCATATTTTCTTTAATATTATTGAGTAAATTTTTATCAATATTGTTTTAATTAATCCGAGTATATACTTTAACTACGATTACAGATTGTAAGCATATTCTCACTATGTTTTTTAAACCATTTCATATCAAAGACGTTTTAATTGATCTGATTTGCGTTCTTTACTTTAATTACGATAACAGATTGTAAGCATATTTTTATTAATATTTATGAAGTAAGTTCATACCAAAGGTGTTTAAATTGATCCGAGTTATATTCTTTACTTTAACTACGATTACAGTCGGTAAGCATATTTTTATTAATATTTATCAAGTAAATTCATATGAAATGTCTCTTAATTGATCTCATTTATATTCTTATACTTTAACTATGATTATAGATTGTAAGCATATTTTTTATTAATATTTATTAAGTAAATTCATATCAAAAGTATTTTAATTGATCTGAATTATATTCTTTACTTTCAGGGGGTAAGCATATTTCACCAATATTTGTTAAGTAAATTCATATTAAAGGTGTTTTGATTTAACCAAGTACTTTAAACCACTATTACAGATTGTAAGCATATTTTTATTAATATTTACAAGTAAATTCCTATTAAAAGTGCTTTTATTGATCTGAGTTAACTCTTTACTTTTAGCGTGTATGCATGTTTTCATTAATATTTATCAAGTAAATTCATATTAAAGGTGTTTTTAATTTACCTGATTATACTCTTTATTTAATTATTGCAGATTGTAAGCATATTTTCATTAATATTTATTAAGTAAATTCATATAAAAGGCGTTTTAATTGATCCGAGTTATATTCTTTACTTTTAGGGGGTAAGCATATTTTCATAAATATTAATTAAATTCATATTAAACATGTTTGAATTATCGGAGTTACATTATATTTTTATACTTTAACCACGATTACAGATTGTAAGCATATTTTATTAATATTTATTAAGCAAATTCATATCAAAAGTGTTTTAATTGATCTGAATTATATTCATTACTTTAGGGAGTAAGCATATTTTCATTAATATTTATTGGATAAATTCACATCAAATGTGTTTTAATTAATCTGATCTCTATGCTTTACTTTAATTTAATTACAGATAGTAAGCATATTTTCATTCTCTACTTTTAGGGGGTAAGCATATTTTCATTAATATTTTGTTTAAGTAAATTCATATTAAAGGTTTTTTTATTTATCTGAGTCATTTTTATACTTTAACTACGATTACAGATTGTAAGCATATTTTCATTAATATTTATTAAGTAAATTTATATCAAGTGTTTTAATTGTTCCGAGTTATATATATTCTTTACTTTAGGCGGTAAGCATAGTTTCATTAATATTTGTTAAGTAAATCATATTAAAAGTGTTTTGATTTATCCAAGTTATATTTTTATACTTTTCTATGATTACAGATTGTAAGCATATTTTTACTAATATTTATTAAGTAAATTAATATCAAAAGTGTTTAATTAATCTGAGTTATACTCTTTACTTTTAGGGGGTAAGCATATTTTAATTAATACATATTAAGTAAATTCATACCAAAGATGTTTAACTGATACTCTTTACTTTTAGAGGGTAAGAATATTTTTATTGATATTTATCAAGTAAATTCATATTAGGCGTTTCATGATCTGATTTTCATTCTTTAACTACGATTACAGATTGTAAGCATGTTTTTTATTAATACATATTAAGTACATTCATATTAAAGGTTTTTTGATTGATCCGAGTTATATTATTAACTCTAGGTGGTAAACATATTTTCATTAACATTTTTTAAGTAAATTCATATTAAAGGTGCTTTATTTGATCTTGTTATATTTTTCTTTAACCACAATTTCAGATGGTATGCATAATATCTGTCGAGTAAATTTTAATTAAATGTGTTCAATTTGTCTGAGGTTTATTATTTAATTTTAGGAAGTAAGCATATTTTAATTAATTAATTTAATTAATATTTGTTCAGTAAATTATATCAAAGATGCTTTAAGTTTGCATTTGCTGTTTTCCATTATGCCGAAAAAATTTTGACGATTAATATTAATTATTTAATTAATCTAGGTAAATGCATTAAATGTGAAGAAAATACTACGGATGCTTATTGGTGTCGTTCTTGCAGCTCTTCTTGTTTTAGAAAAGAATTTATAAAATGGACAAGCGGAAACAAATGTATCGATGAATTTATTCAAAAAACACAGTTAGAAGCAAAAAATATGTTTAAAGTACTTGAATGGATTCCATACGAAAAACTTAAAGATATCAAAGAAATTGGTGAGGGTGGTTTTGCGAAAGTTTATTCGGCTAAATGGAATGAAGGATATATTAAGTTTTTGAAAAAAGATGGACTTTGGGAGAGATCCGGGGAAATCAAAGTTGCACTGAAATGTTCAAATAACTCGCAAGAAACATACAAGGAATGTTTAAAAGAGGTGATGGCTTAACTATGTTTTAATTCACTTTCGTACTAGCGCCATAAAAAATGTGTTTGTTAATATAATGCATTGAAAATACTTATAAATTCCTTTATTTATAAATACTTTAAATTTACATATAGGTTAAAAGCCTTCATAGATTAAACAATGACCTCTCTCAAATTACCCGATGCTATGGAATCACTAAAGATAGGGAATCAAATTTCATGATAGTTATGAAATTTGTAGATCATACTAAGGTGGTTCACAATATATCGTGGAAAAAGATGTTCACCCGTTTATATTATGCTGCACGTGGATTATACAAAATTCATAATCTTAATCTAGTTCATCGAGATCTTCATATTGGAAACATTCTTTTTCTAATAAGAAAGATACAGTTTACATAATAGATCTAGGTTTATGCAAACCAGTTAATTCTGATGAGAGAGATGATGAACTTTATGGAGTTCTTCCTTATGTAGCGCCAGAGGTTTTGCGTAGCAAGAAACATACAAAAGCTGCAGACATTTATTCATTTGGAGTTGTTATGTGTGAGGTACTTTCCGGAGTTTCCCCTTTTAAAGATATCAATTGTGATAATATGGAAGAAAGTAAAACTCTTGCAATAAGAATCTGTAGTGGAGACAGACCAGGGATTCAAGATCTGCCTTCTTTAGTAGCTGAATTGGTAAAAAAATGTTGGGATGAAGAACAAGCAGAACGACCTTCTGCAGAAGACTTGTGTAAAATTTTAAATGCATGGAAAGGCTTTGGCACCAATTCTGAACTTTCTAAGCAAATTAAAAAAAATAAGATGAATCGATCGACTAGCTTTATAAGTGAACAAACCAGTACGACTCTATTTCTTCCAGGTTTTATAAATTTTATAAAGCCCCAAAATTCAAGTCCATTGACAAGTCAACGTCTTTGTACAAGTCAACTTCTTCGTACAAGTAAACTTCTTGATTTTAAAGACCTTCCACAACCTAAAAAATCTGTAAGTGAAGTGATTCAATTTCCAAATTGTAAAAAGTCGAATTCTTGATTTCAAATATTTATGATATAAAATCAACGCTTAAGGTAATATTATATCTTATAATTGAATTTTCTTATGCACATGTTTATAATGACTTAATTTTGAATTTGTTTTTAGAGAAATAGAGGCAGACCTTAAATTTTGAAGATTATTTGATCTAGTGAAAATTAGCCGTGAAATTTACACTATATATTGTAAATTAAAATATATAGAATTTTTTTTTTATAAAATATTGGAAATGTGCACAATAACGTTATGAAAATTTAATTTATATCAAACTATTACCATTACAATAAAAGCTTTTTTTTTATCCTTTGTTTTAATGTAACCGTTATCTTTACAAGGGCTTCTATTTTCTTTTACGGATTATAATTCAAATGTTTGATGTTTGATGTGTTTAAATTCATATATAATTAATTATATGCTGTGTTTTTTCTCAGTTGTTATTTTTTTGTTTATTTTTTAATTTGCTATTAATTATATCATGCTAAATTACAATTAACTCTCCTAGTTAAACTTACCTTGTGCTACAAAAAGTGAAAGTTCGAGCCATAATGAGATGAATCCTATAGATTATCCAAAGCGTAAACGTAGGACACTTATAGTTAGAGTCCATACCATGTAGATCTGTCTGTCCGCACGCGTGTTACGCGACTACTGAGACACGTATTTTATTGTTTGCGTAAGATAGTCTGTATTATACATAGTCTGTCCGTATATACCGTGCGTAGTGTTGTGGGGGTAAAATTGACACAGGCATGCAACGCAATATCACGTTACGTCACCTTTTGTTGTGATGAGAGATTAAGGCGGGAAAATTGGTGTGGGAAAGTTTAGTGGCAGAAATTTCGAGAGCAGCGTAGAACAGTAATAATATGTAAACATGTAAACAATAGGCGCATGTATAAATACATGCGCAATTCAGTAGCATTGGAGTTTCTTTTAGAATTAGTAACGCATTAAGTAATAAATAATAAAGTAACGTTTTAAAGAGAAACACTTACCTTGTGTTTAAATGAGCTAAAGTAGACTTGTAACTTGGGCTATGCGACTAGAAGAGAGAACCGAGGTTTTCCCAAGGGAATTGGCATTGGAAGGGTTCTAGGTTAGTCGGCAGAGAAGTTAAAGTGAGAGAACGACCAAATAGGAGACACGCCTCAAGATTTAGGGAAACTTACCTTATTGTTAACCGAACGAGACGGCAAGCAACGTGAGTTAGCGACCAACTCGTCGATTAGCCCACGACAATAACTATTGTTTTTTACAATTATTATGGGTAAGAATTTTAGATCGCGATCGCATGATGTAATTTTTGTGTCGTTAGACTTAAGGAGCATAGAATGTACTGTACAATAATATGATGTAGAAGTTTGACATAGTTTATTAATAATCCGATCGTGACAGACTCGCCGATTAACTCTAATACTATATATAAATAATAAAATTTTCTACATTTGTTATTGCAAATAATTGTTAATAACACATGGATACCTGATAATTTCGTGATACACTACGAAACTTCTGGGCAATGTAAAATTCGTCTTGCCCGTAATAGAGAGTAAAAGAACTACTGAGACCATCGATCAACGTGACCAAGATTGAAAAAAGGATTATGAACGTAAACGTAATAAGAACAAAGCCCGTGTTTTGAGAAGTGTTAATGAACGTCTTCATATTGTTTTGCAAAATAGAATATATCGTAACACGGATAAAGGTAACATGCTTTCACGCTGTATGTTTGATTCTCGTGATATGATCAAACGAACAAGTTAATCTAACACCACAGTGTGAGAAAAACTGGCGCAAGCCAGGAAATGCCGAGAAGTTAGTTACGTCGCGACACAATCACGAAGAATGTCACGTGACCGGGTCGTGCAAGGATCGATCATGACACTATGGGTCGATTCAATAAATTATGTAATGAATAAGAAATATGAAAATTACCTAACAATCGTTGCGTCATGAGATTTCAGTAGTTTTAGCTTAATCAGTATTCATCGTCATTATTATGTAATTAACGTGTAGAAAGTATAAAAAAAAGAAAGAGAATTAATAAAGAGGATGAATTTTTTTCGGCCAACATTACACCCGCCTCACCCTTACTAAAAACACTACAATACTTAACGAATCTTAACTATCATTAGCAACAGACTCGCCGGTCACCGTTACGATCTGTATTGGCAAAAGGCGTGTCCATTAGTATGAGTCACATCCTTTTATTATATTATTTACTATGCGATGTGATAAACAACATAATAAAAGAACGTGACAATTACCAATGGAGAGTCGTTTTGACACCAGTTACAATATATAAATAATATGTAGATTATTAAGTACCGTTTATTAATTATTTCTTAAATCTTGACACAATGGTAATTTTTAGAACAAGTTTAGAATAGTCCCTTATTATAAGTCTAATTTTGATAAGCATGCGAAGTCAATGGCTTCCAACCATACAATTAGCCATTTCAAAAGGTCATGTATAAAAAGAAAGTAAGGGAAGAAAGATAGATAAAGTAAATTATAATTATTTAAGGAAAAATCCAATTTTGCATATTGTAACGGGCAAACGGCGAGTCTGATGCTAATGCCAACAGAAATTCGCGTAACCGTTACTGGTGATTTAAGGTAAAAAATAGGTGATTTGAGGCGTACGATTTGACCGAGTTCTTCACACTTCTCACACTGCTTGCACTGCTCTCCTCTTTATTAATAACATTGTCTCACTTATTTATACAAATTTTTTTAAACATCTAGATGGGCTTTTAAAGAGAGGAAAAGATCGAAATCTATAGAACATTTTAAGGCTTAAAGGTAAATCATCCACATTATGTCTTTCTATTGTTCGTTATTAATCAATCATTATTATTACAGGCTGATGCTTCGCAATACTCCGGTTAAAATCGTCACGTGACTCTAATCGCATTTTGACTGTTTGATTTTACCTCTTACAATATAAAACGATCATTAAAAATTATTGAATAGAATAAAAGGCATTCAGAAAAAAAAGTGGAAAGTATATAAAAATAAATAATAAAGCTGTATTAAAAAAAATCAATAATAAATTGTGTTAATATAAAATCTTAGAATTGCCAGGTCAATATTTTGCTGTACTCTGCTTTTTCATAATCAATTATGTTAACAACCTCTAAGATTTTCTTGTCCCTAGCAATTTCCACTCTCGTCAGATTTCAGCTACCATTGAAATGCTTTTTCTTGGTCTCTATTAGTTCCAATTCGCTCACCATAAAAAAGTCCAAGGCGGCATTGTCCTATATGATCTTCATTAAATTTCAGGTACCATTGAAATGGTTTCTCATGTCTCGGGTAGTCCCAACACCATTTTTATAAAAAATTCCGAGTCAATGCATTTTAAGCTGCTATCTGACAGTTTATTAATAAATAAAAATCTGTTCTGATTGCTTTTAATGAACATATTAATACAAGTCGTTAACTCCGATTCAAAAATCCCTTTATTTTTTCTATTGACAAAGTTCATATAGCTGTTTAACGTATTGTGTTCAAATTCTTTAACAAATTCTCTCTTTATTATGTAGCTCTTGTTGTCAATACTTTTAATATCTTTTTTATTTTTTTGAATTTAAAGTGCCTCTGAAATTTTTAATTCGATAATTGTTTCCAATGAGATAAGTAACTCTTTAATCTGGATAATCGCGGGCCTCTTATCTGAATTTTCTCTCAACAGATTAATGAAATTTAAGTTTTTAACATGAATTTAAATAAGGTTAAATATGAAATGTAATAAATGACCTTTATAGGTGTCCCTTATACACTCATTCTTCAAGACTCTTTGAAATATGAAGCATTAACGCTAAGTCGTACTCATCAAATTAAAAGATAGATATTCACTTGTGGGTTCCCAGAATAAAACATCTAAGCTGTAAATATTTGATTTCTTGGTTTTTTTACGCTAATGCCCTTTTTTTTGCCCCTTTAAAGCATTGTGGATCAATATGACATAACACCAGGTGGTGTATTATCAGTTAGAACCTGTTAATCTCCTGGATAGCCCAATATCTACAAGTTTTATGTTTTCACCTGCTAAAACAAATTAAAATAGGTTTAAAAAATACATATAAAATTCTCTATGAATAATGTCTTTTGGTAAAAATGCATAATTTCATTAATGATTTGTTTGTCCATGCGGAATTTGTCATTCTAATTTAAGGATTTAAATTTCCCTTCAAGGAATTGCTGCAAAGTCCCGTCTGCATACGAGACAATCTTTTTTTTTGAATATGCTTAATTAAAAATATTAATTAATTCTTAAATGTTATACAGTATAACGCATTAAGTATCGCAATACACCCATTACCATTCTTAGAAATTCTATAAAGTCGAATATGCTATAATTAAAGTCAATATCTTGATGCAATTTTAGCTTCATAAATAATGTATATTCTAAGTTAAATAATTTATTTATTACCAGGTTATTCTTTATTACATAATACTTTGATTTAATATATACCTCATTAAGAAATTTGTTTGCTGTAATTGCATCTAAAATTTCAATTATTTTATTGCTACTGTTTTTTTAATATGCTTAGAAAAAAAGCCTTGTATACTTTTTCAAAGCTACTCGCCCTATAATTTTAAAATCCTCAAATTTACTCAGTACGTTTGCCAACTTTTCAAGTTTTTCGGGCCATCCAGTTTTTAATTGCAAGTTTTCTAATGAAAATATTTGAAAATTTCAAAATACTCAGGTTATGGTACCTAAAAGATCTAAATAAAATATGGGGTTTTTTATTTGTTTGTAGCACATGATTGTTGACGGGCATGGCGTCAATCCAGATTATTATAGTTACAGTATTGCGCATCGTGCAGTGTCCGTGCAGATTGCCCCAAGTTTCTATATCCCAGTAAGGTGTTTTACGTTTATGATATTTATGGCAATTCCTCACAATATTCGAGCAAATAATGTTTGGGGTGTGATTTCTTTTATTATTATGATGTTGATATTGGTCTCTGTTACTGTTGTGAAATTGTACTCTTTTTTATACATGCCACCTGGAATCAACAAATAACAAAGATAATTATTACTTTAGGCAATTTTAACTATTTTAGTGTAGTATGTACATTATTTTTCATTACCTTGCACATTCATTAATTAAAATTTTTTGTCCTTATAATATATTTCAAAGTCCAATTTGGAGAACTTTATTGCTGCATTAATACAGTATAATCATAATTTCGGGAAAATATATACCTATTTACTTTGTCACTAAATTGCTACAATAAAATATGAAGTACATCGGTGCCCGTTACATGATAAAATAACAATCATAAGAATATACTAAAATAAATGATTCTTCAAAATTCATATTATTCTCAATATCCTCAATATATTTCTAGAATAAAAACAATTAGTTTCATAATAACCAGGATAAATATAATTAAATAAATCATTTAAGAAGATTAAATTTATTACCTGTTGTCGTTACTGTATCTCCTTGATTCAAATATCTTATATTAATACCTGAAATAATACTTTACGCAATTTGAATATTCGGTGAAGTTTCTCTGAGCTTTATCCCATTCTTTAATAGTAATTCTTGCAATACCGCGATTAATTAACACCTTTTCTTTACGTTTCTCAAATTTTCCAATATACCTCTTAATTCTATCCATCTCCCCATCCCAGAAATAAATGAACTTGTTAATGTTTTCAATGATATTTTTTGTTTGTTCTTGTACATTCTGAACAGCGTTTCCAGTATCATTAAGATTAATCAATTACTCATTTGTCAGTTCAATGTTTTCTCTACATTCAGAAATTCTTGATTGATTTTTAGCAACTTTATATGTTGAACGAACCGTTACTACAAGAGATAAACCACTTGTTGGAAAAGCAGCCGCGACACCCAATAGAGCACCGGCAATATTTTTATTCCTTTTTTTTTCTGCCTTATCTTTTTTGTCTTTCTCGTTACGTAATTCTCCCTCGAGTTCATTTTTTGACACTTCAATTTTCTCGACATATTTTTGCAAACCATAGTAAATTACATCCAAATTTGAATTGATTCGAGTATATTCATTCTTGAAATAAACGGCTTTTCCCTTACATCTTGTAGCAGTAGAAAGTAAATCCTTAAGCACATCGCTAAAATCTACGCCTGTTAAGTCGCCATCAACAAGTGATTCGATGGTTGTTTTAATGCTGTCGCAATAATCGGCAATCTCATCACTTGTCGTCGCACTTTCGATCGTTATTTTACGAAATGCTTTCCCTTCATCACGTATATTATATATTTGTTCTCTTAAATACGAATCACTGGTTTCATATTCAGAAACATTGCGAAAATTTGCTACGGCGTTTTGAACGTCGTCTTTAGCAAACAATGGATCTGGAATAGTTATATCGCCAAATGGACTGAATTCACTATTTACAGAGTTCATTATTACTAACGTATATTAAAAGGCAAAAAAAATATTTATTTCTTTAATTTTGAGAAAAAATTACTCTTAAAATTTTGGCAAAGAAATTGACACGATGGCATGAATTCTTTGAGTCAAATATATAGAAGAATCGTATGTTTTCAAAACTATCTTAATTTACACTATTCGGTAAATGGTACCTACGTATGTAGTTATTTGTATACGCGTATAGAAATATAATTGGTCTTAATATGGATAACTCACTCCGTAATAAAGCCCGCAGAAGAAACTTTTCACGTATCGTACACATCAATAGAGAAAATGAAAGATCGGTCTTATGTTCACAACAAATCAGTTTTGCACATGAAAAATTGACCATTCGTGTTTCCTTTTCTTATTGTAATAAATCTCGCATGGCGCTTTATTCATTTATCTGTAGACAGAATGTCTGCAGGCACGTTTTTTAAATTGCCTCCGTATTCAATTCATAAATAAAGTATTTAGTATCTCATGTAAAATTATGCTGCGTGTATAAGTATCGTATAATCGGATTTATAAGCGATAATACTATAAATAATATTGATATACATGGTCTTTAACCAACAAAAGAAAATATTTTATTTATGTGCCAATTACGCCAAACCATTGCATCGATAGCCTGACATCTCAAATCAGACAATTGGATCTGAAAGAAGGATCACGATATTAAAATATTTATTGAAATACAGACAATTCGGTGAAACATTGTAAGCACACTAACCCGATGGAATTCTTGCCATATTCCGACCTTTGTCATGGACATCTCTGTTTATCCGATGCAAGAGATTTGCCAAAATAATCTAATTTGTCTTTATTGAAAGAAAATGATCTTCAAAACTATGTAAAATTACATTATACTGTATTCCGGATAATTTCGAATTCTATTTAGAAAAACATTGAAATGAAACTTACCTGCATGTGGGTGTGAATTTTGCTCTTTCTTTCCTTCCTTTTTTGGTAAATTGGCTACTTAAGGTTTAGTTACAATATCTTTTATGGTGATGTGAATAACGGATCAAATTACCGTTGTTTCCTTAATAATGGAGATAGCGAAGACATATTTAATACTTATGATTCTTATGATCTTTTTGCTGTCATAATTACAGTTATAATAATGTTGTTAGCGTAGCTGGCATAATTGAAATAAACGATTGAGTACAGTAGCGATTATTATGTAGTGTAACAAGAATAATTGGAACGCGACTTGTGTCACGTGACCGATAGCTGCGACAGGCACTGCGAGAAACCAGTTGTTGGATGGCGGTGCACGATTATCTAATGATAGAGGCGGAGGGAGGGATTGTAAAAAAGAATTATGTTATTGTCATCTCTTAGCATAGCCACCCTTAATGTTGTAAGTAATTAAATTATAAAAAAGAAGGCGCTAATCAATAAGAATAATAAAATTGATTGTTTTTATCCTCGACCAAATCAACCCAACTCACTTTTTAGAAACACTTGACATAATTCACAGTCCGCAAATTTGTCAATTCATAGTGGCAGGTTTGCGGACGACCGTTACAGTAGGGACTAATTTTTAATTCTTTAAATCCTTATAAAACTTTTTATTGTCATAATTACAATTGGCGTATGAATATAATAGAATAATGGAAAGTAAATTGAGTAACAGTTGTCTTTATGTAATGATTTTTTGTTTTTATTTTATCTTGAGAGTGTATTAAATCTATAGATCATGTAGAAGTAATAGAATGCAGTAGCTAACGTAGTTTACATTATTCCGATATGGCTTAATGGTTCACATTTGTCAAAGTGATTTTCTTTACATTGAATGTTATTATAACATACCAATAAAGACCCAGAGTAGTAGTAATAAATATCCATTATTTCTTTCAAATTTAAGATAAACTTCACTTGCATCAAAACCAACTTAATTACTAAGCTCATGCTATCTAGGTTATTTCCGGTTTCAAAACTCAAGCCCTTTTTAAAGATTTTTTACTTGTTCATTTAATGTTAGAAATCGATTAGTTATTGACCAGCTAAATAATCTAATTTCTTCAATTAGTTAGCTCACTATTGCAGTATTCGGATCATCCTAGGATGATTCAAATTATAAATTAGATCACATACCGAACTAATGACTCTCAGTCCCTAGGGATTGGTCCTTGGATTATAATACAGTCTAATCCAGTCTAGATGGGCAGTCCTTGAACCGGAGCAGACCTTCCAGGCTGATCAACATCGCTATAGCAACAAATTCCTTATTTGTCTTTAGTAAAATGGTTTCCATACAATAAGTACTTGTTATCCGTCATATTGTGGACGATAAATAATTATTCATTAGGATATTATATAAATCATGTGGCTTTGCCACATGATTTATATAATATTCTAGTGAATA